GACGCTTCGTACAACGAGAATACCAACTCCAACGAGAAGTAGTCATCACCGTCGCCAACAACCAGAACCTGCGCACACGACGACAAGGCGTGGTACAACTTCAGTCACGAGAAACAAGCATCATTCTACAAATGACCGAGGTTTTAATCGCAGAAGGTCTCGGCTATAACTTACTGAGCGTCAGTCAGTTGATGGCGAAAGGCATCCATCTCGAAGCAGACAGCACCACCCAGGAGTTCAAGCTATACCACGGCAAGGGCGGCCTCTACAACGGAAAGGCGATCCTCAAGAACAACGTCTTCGTTCTTGATTTCGTACCAGACCTTGGCACCGCTGACAGCGACGGCATCGTCAGTTTTGCTCCTTGGACACATCCTCCAGATCTTGACCCAGACTTCAGTCCCGGCGGCTTCTGGCACTCACACACCATTCCTGAAACAGAGAGAACAAGGGCGTTAGCAACAATTCAACAAACATCGGCAGCAGCAGAAACAACATCGGCAGCAGCAGAGACAACATCGGCAGCAGCAGAGACAACAACGACAGCAGCAGCGGCAACATCGACACCAATCGCCGGTCCCTCAACGACACCAATCTTCATCGATGGTTCGCCTCCGACACCCGCACAGCAGTTAAAACCGGCACCACGAGAAGTCCACCGAAGCACCAACGTCACTGCCGGCTTCTACTCCAACTCGGATCTGTATCGAAGATCACCCGGACACCGTGCCACTGAAGGTACCTGGCACGCAAGAATGGGACATCCAAGCAACACAGTGTTAAACAACACGATAAGAGCAGGAGTGCTCGACAAAGACTCACTCCTACTGACCGACGGCAGAGAACTTCAACGAGCCCGTGGAACGTGCTTCACTTGCAAGAAGCTGACTTACCGCATCAGCCGTTCGTCTCACATCACAATCCAAGCGCACCTGCGTACACACCTCTCGAAAAGGTGTACAGCGACATCTTATACAACCGTGAACCCGGACAAAACGCCTACAGTTACACCATCACCTTCATCGACGCCGCAACTCGATATGTCTGGCATCTGAACCTTCCAAGTCGCGACATGGCTTTCGAAGCCTTTGTCGCCTGGCTTCCAGTCGCAGAACGAGAATCGGGAACTAAGATAAAAAGCTTTCAGTCAGACGAGGGAGGAGAATACACCTCACAGAGGTTCAAGCAGTACTTGGCAGAAAGAGGAATCAAGAGGCTCATCTCCCTTCCCTACGCTCACCAACAGCAAGGCGTAGCAGAAAGGATGAACAGGACGCTGCAAGCCACCATGCGCAAGCTGCTACGTGGCATGCACCTACCCAACCACCAGTGGCCCGAAGCAATGGACCACGCCGTGATGCTGCACAACTTGCTTTCGTCATCATCGCTCCCGAACAACGCATCACCGCATCTGCTGTGGACAGGAAAATTGGGCAGCACAAAAATGTTGAGAGTCTTCATCTGCATGGTACAGTACCGACCTCCATCTGCACGAGCTGGGCGATTCTCTCAACGCGCACAGTGGGGGCTGCACTTGGGCATCGCAAAACATTACAACGCGTGGAAAATCTTCGACATCAACAGCAAGGAAACAGTAGCAGCACGTGATGTCATCTTCTACGAACACCTCACCCTCGGCACTCACCTCATGTACATCGAAGAAAACAGACCTGACCTCTCGGGCGGATTTCATGGGAACCGAGCCTTCGCCTCGGCAGAAGACGAAGCTGACTGGGACGAACAGAACGTGGAGGGAGCCTCGGAAGCAGCCGGACCACTCCCTTACTGCTCCGTGGACATCCCAATGGACGACGAAAATCCTCGCGGAAGAATCAACGCCGAAGTCTTCTACGAATTCGCCGACAACGGTTACGTTACACCTGCACGGGTCAACACCAACGAAGCAGAACGAGTAGGACCAAATTTCAATCCAACACCTGAAACAGGAGACGAAGCTGTTTATCCCGAGGACACCACACTCCCCCGCTACTCACAGAGTGGACTTCAGATACTCGGACTCGTCACCGCAGTCCACGGTCCCGCCATTCCTAAAGAGCCTGCGACAGTTCAACAGGCTCTGGGGGGGGAGCACAGGGAAAAATGGCGTGAAGCCATGGACAGAGAGTTAAAAGCGCTGGAGGAACGGAACACCTGGAAAGTCGTTCCCATCAGTGTGGCAAGAAACAAGACCATTCTCACCGGGAAATGGGTCTTCCGCGTAAAGACGAAAGCTGACGGCACCATCGACAAGTTCAAAGCACGATGGGTCGTGCGCGGCTTCGACCAAGAACAAGGACGGGACTTCACCAAGACCTTCACACCGGTCAGCCGACACACCTCACTTCGAATCCTCCTCGCGATCGCCGCCATGAAAAGGAAGAAGCTGCGGCAAATCGACGTCGCGAACGCCTTCCTCTACGCACCCGTTGACGCAGAGATCTTCGTGGAACTACCGCACGGCACCAACGGAGAGCCGAACAAAGTCTGTCAACTACTGAAATCGCTCTACGGGATTAAGCAAGCCCCGCGGCTATGGCAGCAGTATCTACACGCCCGTCTCATCCGCATTGGATTCAAGCAACTACCCCACGATCAAGGGATGTACCGGCTTACGAAGAACAACGACTACGTCCTACTAATCGTCTATGTAGACGACCTCCTCTACATCGGCTCGATCGATGACATCACCACCTGGTTCGAAGGGGAGCTGCAGCGGGATCTCACGCTCACGGTTTCATCTACCGTCACACAGTACCTTGGGCTCAACATCCGAGAAGAAGAAACTGCAATCTACCTCAGCGCCGAAAAGTACGCCGACACCATCGCCAAGCGCTTCGCTCTCACACCGACCGCGATCTCCACGCCATACCGTTACACGACAGGAACTGACAAGGGAGGATCTACTCTACTGAAGCCCGCCGGCATACGCGACTACCAGAGAAAGCTGGGCTGTCTTCTCTTCGCAGCTGTCACCTGCCGCCCCGACCTCTCATATTCCGCAAGCCAGCTCGCTACTTACCTCAAAAGGCCTGAAACAGAACACCTGGCGGAGCTCAACCGCGCTCTTCACTACTTCGTCAGCACTCCAACGATCGGCCTAACGTATCACAAGAACGCAACTACACCGACTAAGCTAATCGGCTATGTCGATGCCGATCACGCCGGCGATTCCGACAATAGGCGCTCCCGCACCGGCTACATCTACCGCCTCGAGCCTATCGGTCCTATCTCCTGGCAGTCGAGTAAGCAGGAACTAATCGCCCTCTCATCAGCTGAAGCAGAATATATCGCACTCTGCTCAGCCACCAAGGAAGGACTTTACCTTCGCGAGCTGCTGGAAGAAGCGAAGTTAGCCGAGTTACCCAACTTCACCCTATTCTGCGACAACCAATCTGCAATTCGCATCGCCAACAAAAATGGATTCGCGAACAGAACGAAACATATCGCCCTGCGATATTTCTTCGTAAAAGACGAGATCGAGAAGGGGAGACTTGAACTATCCTACTGTCCCACGTCCGAGATGGCAGCTGACTACTTGACCAAGAAGCTCGGAAAGCAGAAGTTCGAGTACTGCATGCTGCTGACTGGACAAGGCCACGTCATCAGCAGCGACACTCCAGAAGCGAAGGGGAGTGTTGGAAACAGTAAATCCTAAGCGCCTCTGTCGTGTCGAAACATCGCACCAGAAGCGAAGCGAACTATATTGAGGCACACGCGAGTCAACCCTCGGAGGTTGAAAGAGGTTGCTGGAGGTTACGCGAAAGTCAAAGGTCAGCGACCTTTGACCTGACAAATACAGCGCGACAGCAAGGACACACAACTGACTCGCTACAGAGCAGTTGCCCGAGTCGTCACTGTATCGAACCGCAACAGCAATAGTAAAGTAGTTACAACTGTATCCTTTCATATTCCTTGTACTCATATATAAGTGCTTGTATCTCTTTGCTTTAATCAACTTACTTTGCCCTCACATACCAGCGCAAGGTGGTTCACAAGCTTTCATTAAACGCTTCCGCTATTACAATTACTCTACCCCGAATTTACCCCTGCAAAAGATCCTAAGGGCTGTCTCAGCCCAACAGATTTTGAGTGCTTGCAAAGTTCGAACCGCCAGAGTCAAAAGTTGCACACTCAAAACCACACACGCAAGTGCGAATTTGCAAGTTCGAGCTTGTAGGGGGGGAACCGAACCGCCACTGGGGTGTGTAGGTTACCCAGTTTCGGCATCTTGACAGCGCGACACGTCAACGGAGCGCGCCCCCCAAATGGACCCTCTAGACCTCCACCTCATCATCGTGCCCCGTATGGACCACCAAGCTACACAGGTGAGTTGGCCCAGGCATGCTCCAACTCACCATTCCACAATGTCTCTCATTGAGCTGGTGGCTGATGTGGGGTGTACATTGTTGGCGCGAATTTCGCTGCCAGTGCGCCAACTTCTAGTCAAGCGCAGAAGCGGCACGTCATCGTGCCACGACATGATACACGTGGCGGCAGTTGCCTGAATGGGTATGCCATGGGTTTCGGTTGTGCATCTATTGGTGCACGAATGCTTTGCGATTGTCGCGCACTCCTCGTACGTACGGTACCTGAAACCATACACGTTAGCTTCAACGTGCAAAACCATGTTTGCTCATAAACTCGAATCTTGTTCACTTTGGGGGCTTCGAGTGCCATCAGGATCAGTTTGACACCAGAGTCGGCGAAAAAATTTGCGAACAACTGCGAAACTGGTTACCACCCTAAATTCGAACCTATTTTCGAACTCCATTTAGATTCACACACGCCCTTAGTCCAGGGTGGTGAATTACGGTACTGAAATGCTAGTGCAATGATCTGCCAACTCAAATTCTGACCCACAGCATTTGAAAATATTTTATTATATTTTTCTGTGAATAGTTGTGCACAGAATGCCTTCTACTTTCCGAGTTCCACCAAAGCTGATTTATAACCCAATACATAGATTCCTAAAACTTGTTAACCACCCCTGCCACTCCCATTTACTGAGGGAGCGACTCGGGGTAGTAAAAATAGACCGTGCGGCCGTTGATGGGCTGCGGGAAGCGGTTGTCAGTGCGCTCGCCGTTATTCGTAACGGCCATCATGTTCATGAAGTGGATCGTCTGCGCCACAGACAGCGGCTGCGACTTGCGCAGCACGTGCCACTGCACGATCTCGTCGCACTCGGGCGTCGTGAGCGAGCCAGGGTACGTCCAGAAGCCCCACGACGGCTGCAGCAGGGTCGACCAGAAGTCGGACGAGACGGGCACAGTCACGTTCGCGCCGTTAGCGGCAGGGGCGGGAGACAACCACCTGGCGGGGAGAGTGGGAGGAAGGGGGCGGGGACGGGAGGAAACGAATATGATTTAGCGTGATGCAATACTACACATCTCGTGCGCTACTTGCGACTCAGTTTGTGTGACTACACCTCTCCCTCGGCAATTTCAACACCTGGGCCCCGAATCGCGTCTTTGTCGTTTAGCCCTCGTGTTGAAATTGCCAGGAATTGAGAAGTTCCGATAGTCAGCGCGGTTTCACTCGGTTTCGTAATGCTCAAAACCGTGATACAGGTGTTTTAACTGGTTCTGAGCCTTAGAGAGGTTGTGAGGCCGAACCGCGCTCGGCCTAGGACCACAGGTCGAGACAAAGGTGTTGAAATTGCCAGAAATTGAAATTAGCGCGGGACAGGTGTACCACTAACTAGTCCCGTTCAAAAGTAGTCGGGACATTCGAAATAAAAGAAATTGTTGGGATCTTTAGAGGTTAGTCGTCGGCTAATCCAGGAGCGGCTCAATTTGAGTGAGAACGAGCATGGGCGAGAACACGGGTTTGGCGGAAACAAAGGAGTCTCATCCGCTAATCCGTGTGCGTCATTTGAAGTGGTACAGCCGCAGCATTCCGTCTGCGCGAATGGAAACTGAATTTGTAACGCGAAGGGGAAACGAACTCACTGGTTGATCCAAGTGGAGTTGGCGTCGTCACGATGGAGGCGCAGCATGACGCCGACGACGGCGAGCTTCTTGGGGTCGTCGACGTGCACGTGCACGAAGTGCGCCTCCATGGGCGCGAACAGCCCGTTCACCGTGTGCTCCGACATGGCGTGCACGTGCATCTGCAGCAGCTTGTAGTCGCCCGACGACAAATGCAGCATGTGCGACTCCGTTTCCGCGGGCACAACCTCTGGAAAGGGAAAATCGGGGATTGGGGGTTTGCGGTTGCGCGCGAGTCGTTTAAAGCGGGAACAATGCCAGTTTTCTCTGCGGGTGCATGATGGAGTGCAAAAATGAGATGTGTCACTAACGATTTATCGGCGACGATGAGGTGATTTTATCGCGAGGGGAAAGGGAATTGCTTACGGATGGTGGAGCCCTTATTGATGACGGCGACGGTGGCGGCGGTGGAGTAGTTGAGGTGGAAGAGCTCTTTCGATGCGCCCAGCACCGCCTCGTCCATCACGATGTTGATCGGCGACTGCCGCTCGCCCGACGCGCACGCGCCCTGCGCAGATTGAAGAGGGTGTCGAAATAAGGGTATATCATTCGAGACTGTCTCCCCGCAGACAGTGGCGTGTGGATCAGATTGATGGAAATTTGCTGCCGAAAAGAAATCGAGAACCTAGGGATTGACACCACAATGATGTCTCGTTTCCGTGTAATTTTACGTTCGCACTGGACGTACCGGCCAGTCCGTGCCGCTCTTGTCGTAGGAGAAAGGCACGGAAGCCGCATTGGCGGCAGCGACGAGGCCGAGGGCGAGAGCGACGAGGAAGAGAGTGCGCGCCATGTTTAGCAGATAGCGCTGCTGTGAAGGGATAACCTTTCAAATAATTGGAGTCGAATGTGATGATGGGGGATGCTGCGACGGGGTTTATGTGAGAAATTGGTGGCTTCTCAGAAAATTGGATTCCTCCACGCCACACGTGCTGGATGTCGCGGCTCGTGCAGATTCATTTTCCACAGAACCGCGCTTCGAGAAAAGGTGCAATCTGGGAAGAAATTCGGGTTCGGGAGGATAGACGTGAAATTAGGCAAGGGGGTTCTCACGGGGGGACGAGTTGGAGGAGGAGCTGACGCGAGAAGACCCTACGTGACACTCGGGTGGTACTCCCTGTGTGTACATGTGGCTGGGAAGAAGTGGTGATGTCAGCAGCTCTTGTGGTGCTGATGTGGCGCTACTCGATCTGCGGTGGGTGTTTGATGAGGTAACCCCTGATCGAGGGCAGAACGCACTTGGTACAGTTTGGCAAGGAAGGGCCGAACCTGGCTGTAAAGATGATCCCCGCTGCTGGGTTGTTGCAATACCGTTTTTCAAGGTGTTCGCTACAAAAGCTCAGCACAAGTTTCCAACATAAATCAAAATTATATGTAAGCCAAAATACACATACTGAAAGGAACACATCATGCAAAGGTATGGTAAGAACTCATTAAAGGCAATACAACAATTCTCACACGACGACGCTTGCATACATGAAAATTCAAGCATGGGTGCTGTGTGCGGAGCTCATGAAAGGTTTCTTTCATCCTCAACCTCAACCTCAAGCGCCGCTACTGCCTCTGCCTCCTCGACCTCTGCATCTGCTAGAGCATCGGTGGCCGAAGCATCACTACCAACACGGCTGCTTGTTTCGCTGACTGGCTGTTCACTCACTCCACTGCCTTCCCCCCTGCCAGTGCCCTCCCCATCACTCCTCGCACCATCCCCATTCCCATTCATCACCCCAACCTCTTGCACCACTTGCATGTCATCACCGCTTGTGCCTTCTTTCCCCTCCTTTCCCTCCCCAATTTCTCCTCTCAACTCACCAGGGCCATTCTCACTGCCAACTCCTCCCACCGCCTCCCCGCCATCACTACCTGTTGCCTCTGACGCATCTCTCATGCCTCCATCTGAACCACCTTCTTCCGGCTGCTCATCCCTCACACTCAACCTGGTGTCGCTCTGACTGTTTTCACCAGCCTTTTTTCCACCTTCATTACTATCACTCTCGCCACCGTCACTCTTGGTGGAATCACCTAATGAAGCACCACCCTCACCACCCTCACCAACACCAGATCCATCCGCAATGCCTTCCGCACCTCCCTCCTTCCTTTCCTCCTCTTCAGAGCCATCCTTGCTCCTTTGTCCAGTCCCCTCATTAACCTCCTCCCCGCTTGACCCTTCTGCCCCACTTGCTCTCTCTCCCCCCGCCCCTGCCTCCCCCAGCCCCGCACCCTGCAGCCCCTCACTGTCAGCACTGCTATCACTTCTCCGCCCGTCCCCTCCATCCTCCACTGCACCGTCCAGCCCAGCTGCCCTGCTGCCACTCACACCACCCTCTCCACTGCTGCTGCTGCCGCCGCCGTTGCTGCTGCCGCTCTCCTCCGTGCCGCCTTTGCTCTGCTCCCTGTCCGCCTCCCCATCAGACCCCTGCTCTGCTCCGCCACCCACCCCCTCCCTTCTTTCTCCCTGCTCCGCATCCTGCGCCTGGCCTCCATCGCCCGTTCTCACATCACTGCCACCCACCCGCTCCCCACGCTCCCCGCCCTCGCCGGCTCCCCTGAGCCCAGTGCCCCCTAGGTGCTGCTCGATTCCCTTCAGCAGCTCATCAATCTCGTGCTGCTCCTCGCCCCCTGCACCGGACCTCTGCCCCCCTCCTAACCCTTCCTCACCGCCTTCTAACCCACTCTTGCTGCCTTCCAACCCATTCTCACCGCTCCCTCTACCTGCAGCACCGCTCTCGACACCGTTAGCTGTGGCTTCCCCATCACCTGCTCCTGCTCCTTCGCCCAGCCCAGCGCCACCCCCAGCCCCCCCACTTCCCTCTCCCCCACCCCTCACTTCCAAATCCTCCCCTCCCCCACTCCCCATTCCTGTCTCCTCCACTTTATCATCCAAACCTGCTTCTCTTGTCCCACGCACCTTACCCATGCCACCCAATCCACCTCTGACTGCTCCTCTACGCTTTCGGCTGATGCGCTTCCCTCGTTCCCGTCCACCCTTGCCCGTCCCTTCGTCCAATTTGCTCATAATCTCATCCCACACACTCCCATCCTCACCCTTCCTCCTCACTTCTCTCTCACTCTCCTCTTCTTCCTCCCCGGAAACTCCCTCCTCCTCCTCCGTCTCCTCTTCCTCCTCTTCCTCTTCCGCCACCTCTTGCCGTCTCGACCCCTTCCGGCCCCGCCTCCCCATAACGCCTCCCCTTCTGCTTCGTCTCTCCATCTCCCCCCATCGCCTCGCCCCACTCCCCGTTCGCCCCCCTGCCCCACCCCATCTCTGCATCTCCGCCCCCTCACCTTCCTCCCCCTCCCCCCGCTCCCCGTGCCCTGCCTCCGCGTCCCCTTCCCCCCATTTACCGCGCCCCTGCTCCCATCTCTCCGCCATCCTCCCTTGCCCCCCCTCCCCTCGTCCGCCCGTCCGCCGACCCCCCGCGTCCATCCCCCTCCCCGCGACCAGCAGCATTGATGGCGGAACTTCCGCCAACCCAACCCTCCCCACCGCCAGCCTCTCCGCCTCCACGTGTCCAACTCCGATTGGTGCGTGCTGGGGATGCTGCCACGTGTGCGGATGTTGTACCACAACCAGGCGTGACCCTAACAGGAGGAATGCCGCTATAAGGAAACCCAGGCAGAGGCACGTGCACGGGAGAATGGCGGGGAGCGAGCAGCAAGAGGCGGAGGAGGAGGAGGAGAGTGAGGGGGGAGTGGCGGGGGAGGGCATGCGGGAATACGAAAAGTGCGAAGGCGTTATGCGGAACGAATCAGAGAACCCCCCAATGCGCGCGGTTGCGCCTCCCCCTGATCCCGCCGCCCGTCCCCCGCCACTGCCCCATACAAGCGCGCTGAGGAACGAGCGCCGGGAAGGCGTGGGGAAAGCGGAATGCGGGGGCGCGGAAGCGCGCGGAGCGGACGCGGCGGGGGGTGCGGATGCGACGGGGAGCGACCATTGAAAACCGCGGCGCTCCCTGGTGCCCTTTCGCATGGCGCTGCGATGCGAGTCGCAAAGGGGAAAAAAGTCGAAAACTGTCGCTCAGTGAACGCGACTCGTCAGCGCTGGGAGCACATCAGTCGACTGTGGGGCAGCCATGGATGTGTGGCTTTGATCTGCTGACGAGTCACAGGTGGGATGCTGTGTGTGAGGGAGGAGTTCTGGTTGGTGGCTGGGGGGTGACTCCGCACACCATACGGTGCAATAAGGGAACGTTCTTGGCCGGTGTCAAGTTCCCTGACACAAGGCTACTGACGGCTGCGATCGCTCCACATCATCCTCAATCGAATCGAGACCCTTCACAGCTTCGTGTCAGCCTGCCTGACACCGGCCAGGAACATTCCCTAAGATGCATTACAAATTTGCACTACTAATCAATGTCGCCCGTGCGGGCTGCCTCAGCCTGTCGCGTCGCCCGTCCACCCTACCCCTGCCCGTCGTGTCGCCCGTGCAGGCTGCCCTGCCCGTCGCGTCGCCCGTGCGGGCTACCCTGCCCGTCGTGTCGCCCGTCCGGGCTGCCCTGTCCGTCGCATCGCCCGTGCGGGCTGCCCCAGCCCGTCGCGCGACCCGCGCGCGCCCTGCTCTGTCCGCGCACCGCGCGTCCGCCCTGCCCTGCCCGTCACGCGGCTCGCGCGCGCCCTGCCCTGCCCGCGCGCCACGTCTTAGCCCTGCCCTGCAAGTCGCGCGGCCCGCGCACGCCCTGCCCTGCCCGCGCACCGCGCGTACGCCCTGCCTTGCCTGCGCGCCGACCTACTTCGAGCGCGCCGCTCTGCTCTGGCCGCGCACGCACCAGGTGACCGTGCACCGGCCCACCCTACGCTCCGCGCAAACCCTAGTGCCTGATCGCCGCGTCTACGCCCTGCCTGCTATGACTTCTCTTCGTGATAGCAGTGGGAGTGGTGGCGGCGGCCGTAGTAGCAGTCGCGGTGGAGCTGTTCAGTGGGGAGTTTCTGGCGGTGGCCAGATGCAGCTGCAGCGGCGTCCGCGCGAGACCCTTACGTCTCAGCAGCTTCGTGAGTGGTTAGCTCAGCGTGACCCTGGGTGTACTGCTCGTTGCCGGTGCACGGTCACCTGGTGCGTCTGCTCTCTTTGGTATAGAGGCTGCTGCTCAGGGTGCTAGTGAGTCTGCTCTCTCTGGTACTGCACCTGCTGAGGCCTTGCACACCTTCATGCTTGACTCAGGTGCTTCTCGCTGCTTCTTTCGCGACAGTACCACAGTCACACCACTCCCTGCACCTGTTGCAGTCTCTCTGGCTGACCCCTCCGGGGGCCCAGTTCTTGCACGTTCCTCCACTGTTCTCCCGTGTCCGGCGGTTCCGTCTGGCTCACTGACAGGTCTTCACCTCCCCTCGTTCTCTACGAACTTGGTGAGTAACGCCGTCCTTCAGGATGCTGGGGTTGATACCTTTACCCCTGGAGGACAGCATGTGGCGATCTGCACGTGTGCACGGACGGGCCGTCACCTGGCCACGTTCACCCGTCGGCCTGGGTCGAGCCTGTACACACTGACTACTGAGCCTCCTCAGGTCGCTGCGTCTGGTCAGGTGTCTACGTCAGGTCAGTTGTCAGCCCCTTGTTCGTGTCGCCTCCTTTCGCACCAGACTCTCCTCTGGCACCACTGCCTTGGTCACCCCTCCCTGCCACGCCTCCATGGCATGCACTCCCGCCTCCTTGTCTCTGGCCTTCCCAGGTCTCTGCCCCCCCTCCCGCGCTCGCCTGCCCTGCCGTGCCTTCCTTGCGTGGAGGGGCGGCAGCGCGCCGCTCCTCACTCCTCCTCGTTTCCCGTAACGAATGCTTCCCTGATGACTCTCCACATGGACGTGTGGGGCCCAGCCCGCGTCAGTGGACAGGGCCGCGAGCGGTACTTTCTGCTGGTTGTTGACGACTACTCGCGTTACACCACGGTCTTCCCCTTGCGCAGCAAGGGGGGGGTCCATGCTGTCCTGATCCCTTGGATCCGCGCTGTTCGTCTCCAGCTCCGCGAGCGGTTTCGCACGGACTTTCCTGTCCTGCGTCTGCACTCTGACAGAGGTGGTGAGTTCTCCTCCGACCTCTTGCGGGACTTTTGTCAGGGGGAGGGCATCCTCCAGTCGTTCACGCTTCCGGCCTCCCCACAGCAGAATGGGATTGCTGAGCACCGCATTGGCTTAGTCATGGAGGTCGCTCGTACCTCCATGATCCATGCGGCTGCTCCCCATTTTCTGTGGCCGTTTGCGGTCCGGTACGCTGCGCATCAGCTCAACCTCTGGCCCCGTGTCTCCTTGCCAGAGACCTCGCCCACCACCTCAGGTGCTGCTGGGGGTGGTCCTGCTCGGGGTGCTCCGCCTGGGGGTACTGAGCTTGAGCGTGCGGAGCCTGGGGGCGCTGAGCCTGGCGGTGCTGAGCCTGGGGGTGCTGAGCCTGAGCGTGCAGAGCCTGGGGGTGCTGAGCCTGAGCGTGCGGAGCCTGGGGGTGCGGAGCCTGGGGGTGCTGAGCCTGAGCGTGCAGAGCCTTGGGGTGTTGAGCCTGAGTGTGTGGAGCCTGGGGGTGCTGAGCCTGCAGGTGCGGAGCCTAGGGGTGCTGATTCTGGAGGTGCTGGGCCTAGGGGTGTTGCGTCTTCACTACGGGAGCCTCTCTCACCACAGCAGCTGCGTGAGTGGCTTGCTCGACGCTCCCGCCTTCGGAGTGGTGCTGCTGGTCCTGGAGGTACTCGTACTGGAGGTACTGGAGTTGTCGGGGTTGGTGGTGCTGCTAGTCCTGGAGGTGCTGGAGGTCCTGCTGGAGCTAGAGGTACTGGGGGTACTGGAGCTACTAGTCCTGGAGGTCCTACAAGTGCCTCGCCACCGCAATATAGTCGGCGAGAGTCTCTCTCACCACAGCAGCTACGTGAGTGGCTTGCTCGACGCTCCCGCCTTCGGAGTGACGCTGCTGGAGCTGGGGGCGCCGGGGATAGAGGCTCTTGAGCTGGAGCTGCTGGTCCTGTAGGTGCTCGTACAAGAGGTCCTGGAGCTGCCGGGGCTGGTGGTGCTGCTGGTACTAAAGGTACTGGGGGTACTGGAGCTGCTGGTCCTGGAGGTGCTCGTACTGGAGGTACTGGAGCTGCCGGGGCTGGTGGTTCTGCTGGTACTGGAGCTGCAGGAGCTGGTGGTGTTGCGAGCTCGGGAGCTGGTGGCGCTGGCGCTGGAGGCGCTGGAGCTGGAGGCGTTGGAGCTGGAGGCACTGGCGCTAGAGGCACTGGAGCTGGAGGCACTGGAGCTGGAGGCGCTGGAGCTGGAGGTACTGGAGCTGGAGGCACTGGAGTCGGAGGCACTGGAGCTGGAGCCGCTGGAGCTGGAGGTTCTGGAGCCGAAGGCACTGGAGCTGGAGGCGCTGGAGCTGGAGGCGCTGGAGCTGGAGGTACTGGAGCTAGAGGTTCTGTGCAGCAGCGACCGCTTTTTGAGCCACCGCCGCAGCTGTCCGAGCTTCCTCCCGAGTCGGTGCTCTGCCAGGTTCTTACTCTTCCTTCGTCCACTGCCCTTCCTCCTGGCTCGCCGCTGCCTGCCCCGTCTCGTTACACTGAGCAGCCGGTCTCCCTTACAGAGCGTCGTGAGCCTGTGTCTCGTCCTGCCTCCCCTGTTCGCGCTGGTCGCACCGCTCGTCGTGTCCCGCGTCCGCGTCCTCCTCCTGTGCCAGGCACTCACACTATGGCACTTCGTCCTTCCTTTGCTCCACAGCGCGTCCCTCTGCTGTCTCCTCTTGCGTCCTCTCTTCCTGAGATTCCTGACCCTGAGTCTGACCGTGTTCGTGCTGCCAGCCACACAGTCCCGCGTCTCCTGGCTACTGTTGTCACTCAGTCGTCGTTTGAGTCTACTGCTGCGTCTGCCTTAGTTGCTGAGCTTGTCGACTTTGCTGCTGCGTGTCGTCTAGACTACGCCGCCAGTCTTGTTGCAGAGTCTGAGTCTGTCTGTCCTCCGTCCGTCGGGGGTGAGTGTGCTCTTGGCACGGACGTCCTTGAGGACAGGCAGGAGGACTTTGAGTCTCTTGCGACGGCTGTACCTCATCTCGTGGCCTGGCTGCTTGCACCTGAGGGAGACCCGGATGCTGTAGACATCCCGACCCCGCGCTCTTACGCAGAGGCGATCTCGGGTCCCTACTCCTTTCAGTGGCAGACAGCCATGGACGCAGAGATGGCATCCTGGAAGTCCACAGGCACCTACGTCGACGAGGTTCCCCCTCCTGGGGCGAACATAGTCGATGGCATGTGGATTTTCAGGGTG